AAGAAAGAGAACCAATTTTATTAATACCTGAGAAAAATACCAAAACATATTTAACAAAGGTGATAAGAAACATTAAGCAGAGAGAACCAATTTTGAAATTTTGTCAAAAACAGATCCAAATATGGTGTATTTGTAATGAGAATAAAATACAATAAATGTTTCATATGTTTTTTCTATTAAGGAGTAATGAATTCCTTAAATAGTTATTCATTTCTTTATTTAACTCTCCTAGATTAAAATAAAACAAATATGATTGTTTTGTTAAACCAATATCTGTTAAACAGGAATGACTTCTGTCTTTCTACTGCCATCATGATAATGTATTGATATTTGTCTTTTTGTGAAACTAGCTCTAGATTGATAACCTGCATAATACGTCTTCATTGATAACAATAAATACTTGTTAATGTCATTTGTAGCAAATGTGGTGGCACTATGGCTAAGGATTTGTGCCTGTGGCTGGAAGGTTGCTGGTTCAAGTCCTGTTGGTGGCAGAGAAATCCTCCTCTATTGGGCCCCTGAATAAGACCCTTAACCCCAGGGGTGCTGTATACATGGCTGACTCTGTGCTCTGACCCCAAGCTTCTCACTCCTCATCTTTGTGTCTCATGGAGAGAAAAAATGAAGTATGTGAAAAGACAAATTCCTAATGCAAGAAATTGTATAAGACCAATAAAGTGGTCTCTCTCCAATATGTGCACATGTTAACATTTATATAAATGTTACATGATGCTCACATGCACACTGAAGTGATTACTTTTTATCTTCTGCATGTTGCCCACTATTGTAATATCTATACAATAAAGGTTTGACAATGTCTTGATTAACTTGACTTAATCATCCCTGTTGTAAGAGCTGTGTCAATCTCACTAGAAGTTGATTGGCCCTTTTTTACGGGAATATTTGTGCAGCCTCACACTTAGATACTCCACTTAGTTGGAGGTACATCCACAATGTCTAAAGTGTCCCTTTGTGCTGTATGGGTCAATAGATGAGTTGATTTCACAGGGTATGATGCATGTAACTTGAGGAATGTTCATGGGCGTCTACTCTAAAATTTTGAGAATAGGCTTCATAAGAGTGCATTGTAATTACCACCAAGGTCCACTAGATGGAGAATTTTACTAACAAATGGACAAATGACGTTGCTCTGCAGAAACTGAATTAAAGGTACGGTAAATTGTGGATAAACAGCGTACAGCATAAAGGGTACTTATTATTCAGTTAAAAGATCGGAATTTCTCATTTTTAACAGAAAAGGCTAGGCTAAGAAAATATTGATTTTAGGCATACTAAAATGTATTTCTGTCCTTTGTTTTTAATTTTTTAAAACCACAAGTTTTAATTTAGTGGAAAATGTTTATTCTTCCATGTCAGACTGAAACACACCTTGAAATGTCAAAACATACCACATGCAAAAGAAATCATTAGTATCATTATTAGCTGTGTTACAGTAGAAATCCACCATAACGACAATTATAGGAATTACAAAATCTACGATAAAAGAGTTTTTTCCCTTTATAACGTCTAAACAAGATAGCTGAAAAGGCTAAAGGCAAAGTTATCTTTTCAGAGCACCTCAGAACTTTTTGAAAAGTAAAGTTCGCAAAATAGTTCACTTTAGTTCACAGAATAGTGTGAAATAACACATTAGCTTTTCCACTAGTAGTATTCTAGTATAATTGTATACTAATATATATTATGGTATTCTAAGTTTGTTAGGCTAATTATATGACAGTGCCACCACAGCTGAATAGTAAGGAAATATTACAGGCTTATTGTTTTATTATTACCCGCTCTCTTGCTAAGGACATTTTAAACAAAACCAGAGAGATGGAACACCGAGAGATTTTACAGTACGTAGTCCAACTCATGCCCCAAACAGGAACACTCAGCACATTGGGTAGCGACTACCTCGATGCAAAAATAAAGATTTCACTAGAACTACTTTACAAGAACATGAAGACAGCAGCCACGTTATTGTGCAACTCACATCTAGCAGCCCACTGACGCTCAGCAGGTGTGAGCCTGGTCAGTACCTGGATGTGAGACCTCCTGGGAAAACAACTAGGGATGCTGCTGGAAGAGGTGTTAGTGGGGCCGGCAGGGGTCGCTCATTCTGCGGGCTGTGTCGGTCCTAATGCCCCAGTATAGTGACGGGGACACTATACTGTGAAAAAGGCACCGTCGTTCGGATTACACAAACTGTAAAACCGAGGTCTTAACTCTCGTTGGTCATTAACAACCCCGGTGCGTTTCTCGAAAAGAGGAGAGGGGTGACCCCGGCGTCCTGGCCGTTACTAATTATGGCCTCCCTAATAATAATCCCCAAATATTAACTGGCTTTATTATTCTGTTCTTCTCCCCACTGACAACCTGTGTGTGGTGAGCGTACTGATGCACTATGGTTGCCGTCGCATCATTCAGGTGGGCTGCACGCTGGTGGTAGTGGAGGGGAGTCCCCATTACCTGTAAAGTGCTTTGAGTGGAGTTTCCAGAAAATAACTATATAAGTATAAGCAATTATTATAATAATTAAGAAACAACAACAAACAAAAACTTAATTAAATTTTGAGATACTCATACTGTGTAACACCCAAGCATAATTAGATAAAATTGACATTGCGAAACTAATTTTCTTAATTAAAATCTTTCCGTTGCTAATTTTATCATGTGTCTGATGTTGATATTATTGCTGGAATGTGAAATCTCGTGAAGTCTTCGTGGAGAGTCACTGTGATGGAATAATATTCCAGTATTAACAGTATTCACGCGGGAAATGGTTTTCTGTATGCCTGCAGGCATCTGGGATGTGAGCGTAGCAAGTAGTCTTCAAGTGATTCGTAAAATCACTTC